TCGCGAAGTAGTGTAGCTACATTAAGTGAATCAATCAAGTAAGTACGTAAAATTTACCTGTTGCTGAGCTGCTGAAAGTACGCCCTTGTAGATTTGTGAGCGTAGAAAACGTGGATACGAATCTTTGCTCATCAGCGTAAAGACGTGTTCTTCAGCGGACGAGAACGCATGACGTTTGGTCGCAGCCTCATCTTGCAACGACTTTAGCGTGGCTTCGAGTGTCCGTGAATCAACATTTACCTGAAATCATGCAAAACTGAGCTTTAACAGCTTTAGTTTTACTGGTCAAATTCATCTGAAAATTCTGGGAATGAGAGCTGAAATTTTTCGAAATTCGAAAATTCGACAAAATTTTTAGCGAATTATAAAAAACATCTCTTGTAGATGGATTAAAGAAAAAAATTCCGTTGCTTTTCTCACAAATTATCGGAGTAATTCTGAATTTTGTTCAAGCTAAGAACTGGAACAATCGATTTCGAGCAGTACATAAAAATTCACTAAAAATGCCACGAATCTGGACATAAAACAAGAATAATGCATAGTGTTTTTAGAGGAAAAGCCACAGGACGCAACTGCAAATAATATCGACAAAAACTGCCAGAAATTAAACAATGGCAAGGCTTTTTTTTGTAGGCCACTTTATAAATTCATAATCTATGCACTGTGAAAATCTTGGGATCGTGGACGAAGTTTTAAGCTAGGTAAATTCGAAACAGATAGATGCATAGAATTAAAAGAGACATATAAAACTGGGGGAATATTTATTTTCGTGTTTTGATCATCTGTTCGAAGTACCAAAGTATTCCTCAACTTCACAAGGGCATAAATTTTGAAAGATGTTGAAAAAGAAAACGAACTTGACAGGGAGCACCAGAAGCAAGAAATTCCTCGAAGATGTGCTGTGCCTTCCTCTCCACCTGTTCGTTAGTTGAATATTTCAAATCTTGGATTGCCATCCAAAATCGGATATTTTCAGAGGAAAATTCACTTTCCAGGAATGTTTCAAGAACTTGTCGTCCGATCGGATCACGAACGAGCTCTTGCACCGAAAGGCCCCACCGTTTAACCCGTCGTTCAGTTGGCACTTCCACCCTGAAACAACTGCATGCAGTTCTCCTGTCGCAAAAATATCAAATTATAATTTCACAGATTTTCTAATTTTCATTTTTTTT